AGTAAGTGGGGGTCTTATACAAAATTATTTTATGATATAATGTTGCGGCATGCAAAAATCTTCTTGTTTCCATGTTCAACCAATTCGCATCTTTCAACTTATGCGATATTCGGTCTCGTCTTCTGATGCCAGATTAATATCTGAGGCAAGAATTCTGCGCAACCTGAATTTTATGTTTGTAAGCGGCAGTTAAGCACGGGCCATACAACATATCAGAAAAATTGAAGTGCGAGAGCACCAACGACTCGCATAGATTTATTTTAACTTTAACGGGAAGGTTACGTCTGTTGCCGTACAATATTTTTAACGAGGAATATGCCTTACGAATGAGCGAATTTACATGTTTTCAAATCTTAAATTTACATCCAGTGTTACACCCAAGTTCTTTGCTTCACTGACAGTTTCAAGTTGTTGTGCATTGATGGTAAAGTTAATTGAGTTAGTAACAGCCTGGCGCGCATGCTTTGGCCCAAATACAACTACTTTAGATTTGCTAGAGTTAAGATGTAAACAATGTTCTTCGGTATTCTTTGTCAATAATGATAAATCTCTGTTGATGCTTGCACTCACAATGTCCACATCACTGGGTAGAAAAGTATGATACAGCTGAGTGTCATCAGCATAGCAGTGCATTTTGCAAGTATTTAAGCCTTTGCCCAGGTATGAAGTATAAATTGCAAAAATGAGTGGACCCATAATAGAGCCTTGCGGCACGCCTGATTTTAAGGCTAATACGTTAGAATAACTTCCCTCCAAGAAAACCTTTTGCTTTCTGCTCTTTAGATATTTACTGAAAAAGTTGACACTATCCGAATCGAGGCCTATAAAATGCAATATATTTAGGAGTAAATTAAAATTGATCGTATCGAAAGCTCGACTAAAATCCAACATCATCAAAACTGTACACCTTCCCTGATCAGTGGCTCTAATAATGTGATCTGTTACATGTAGAAGTGCAGTTGTACAGCTATAATTCTTTCTAAAACCAGATTGAATTGGAGAAAGCAAAGAAAACTTTGATAGATGTTCCATTAATTGCAACTCAACCGATTTTTCTAATAATTTTGACAATGCTGGTAAGATGCTTATTTCTCTGAGGTGATTAAAATCTGAAGGATTTAGCGTTTTGGGAATTACTTTTACAACTGCACTCCCCCATGCTTCTGGAAAAACATTTTGAATCAAACAACAATTTATTATATGCCTGATATAAGAAATAACATGTGGACAGCAAAGTTTTATTAGAAAGATACTCAAGCCATCACAGCCTGCAGCATTTGTTTTAATACCAGAGATAGCTTGATATATGAATATTTCATCAATTTCTCTAAATTTGAATTTGGAGTTTGTCAGACAGTTATTTTTGTAAAAATTTATTAAGGAATCTGGAGGTTCACTTGGGGAGATGGAATTTATAAAAAAATCATTCAGAAGGTTCACATCCATTAGGTTGGGGGGCAATGAGTTACTAAAGTTATTTTTTAGCATCTTGTTTTGTTTTAATATCCTCACATTTGCTGAGAGCTGCTACGTAAGAACTTATGAAAGAAATACGCTTTTTCTCTCTTCCAATAGCGCTAGTGACATAATTCTTTAAATCTTCATAATACTGTAAGTGCGCATGAGTACCTCGCCAGTTGGCATGGGAAGTAAAAGGGAAAATTTGAAAACGTCAACAAAGTCAATATTTTGAATGATTTCTGTTAATATACTCGTATCTCCCCAAGTTATGCATCGACTATAAACAAACTAGAAAGTTATTTTTCAATAGATCCTCTACCCCCTAGAGACTATTCGCTTTCGCTGAGCCATCAAAGCGAGTATAGCGAGTTACTCGTTTTCATTGTTTCACGTGATTAGCACAGTCACCGACGGCATACGGTTGCTTTGCTGTATAACTTATCTATACACTGAAAACTAAATTTGTCTGATGGTTTGAGCTCAATGCGAGAGAGATGTGTACGAGGGATAATAATAATAATAATAATAATGTCTTTATTAATCCCTCCACACTGCGAGGCGAAGTTTAGCCAGCTGGCTACTCTACCACTTAACCTCACAGCGCAGGAACACATACAAAAGGAAAAACATAACAATGAATAGCAATCGACTAAATAATATATACAATAATTAAGCTTAAATAGATTAATCTTAATAATAAACAAAAAAAAAATGATAATGACAAAAAAATAAGAATATCAGACAGCTTGGCTAGCAGACCCCAGAAGGTGGTTCTTAATGGCTCTCTTGAATGCAAGTATTCCCATCTTTTTGTAATTGTCATTAAGACTATTATACACCTTGACAGCGTTGTAGGTGAAGCTACGATGGAAAATGTTGCTCCTATAACTAGGTATATGGAAGTCGGAGTTATGTCTCAGATTCCTGTAATTGAGATACCCACGTGGTACCAGCCTTTTTAGTAGATAAGTAGGTAGCCCATTGATTTTTATTCGTTGTACTAAAATTAGTAAGTTATATGAGAAAAGCTGGTCAACCCTCAACCATCTAAGCTCATTGATCTTCCTAGACACATGGCTAAACTTTCGCACACCACAAACGAACCTACAGCAGCTATTTTGAATTTTTTGTACTCGATATCTAGTCACGTAATCAAGACAAGGAAAGTAAACAGCAATTGAATAATTTATTAACGATAGAACCAGAGTCTCAGCCAGTTTTTTGCGAGCCTTGAAATTCAGAATATGGCGATTGGTGTATAATAACTTCAAACGCATGTACGTTAAGCGAGATAAATGCGTAACATGTTGTTTAAACCTCAAATCTGAATCCATGGCGATCCCTAAATACTTCGCATGGTCTACTATAGGAATATGGGTTTCGTTAAGACTAGGAACAATTGTGCCATTTAACCGTTGTACTAACTTTTTTGGGCCAAATAGCATGGCAGAACATTTTGAAGCATTGATATTCAGACAATGTCTTTTGCAGTACTCTTCAATGTTAACTAGATCCAAGTTCAATTTATATGATACTTCATGCATGTCCGAAGAATCAAAAGACAGAGTTAGCTGCGTGTCATCTGCATACGTTTGAATATTACAGTGCTGAAGGCAAGTATGTAGATCAAAGGTATAAACTAAATAGAGTAATGGTCCCAACACACAGCCTTGAGGTACGCCAGATGCCACACTCTTTGCCGAAGAAACTCCCTTACGTGTTTTCATCTTCTGGGTACGATTGCGCAAATACGAATCGGAGAAACGTAGTGGCTTGTCAGAGAGACCATAAAATTTGAGCTTACTCAAGAGAATACCATGATGTACCATATCAAAGGCCTTAGAGAAGTCAAGCAGAATCAGAGCTGTTCCTATCTGATCATCTACATTTTTGATGATATGATCCGTAATATTTAATAAAGCGGTTGTTGTGCTATGCCCTGTACGGAAACCAGACTGATATTGAGGAATCATATTGTTTTGTTCAAAATAGTGGGCCAGCTGTATGTAGACAATTTTCTCTAAGACCTTCGACAAAAAGCACAACATGCTGATGAGCCGTAGGTGAGAATACTCAGAGGGGCTGTTTATCTTCGCGAAAGGCAAAACGATAGCTTCCTTCCAGCAGCTTGGGAAAATCCCTATCTCTAAGGACACATTTATAATATGAGTAATGTGATTCAAAATTTCTGGTAAGCAGAGATGTATCATTTTACGACTAAGTCCATCACAACTCGATGTTTCTGACTTGATAGAAGTTAAAACATCCAACACTTCATGCTGGTCAACGTAGCGAAAAGTAAATGAAGGAACATTAGTGCAGAAGGAGCTATTATCATATTTATGAATTGTTGACTCAATTAGCCTCGAGTTCATATTAGCAGCCTGTGAGTTCAATAAAAAGTAATCATTCAGAGAGTCTGGTTCGAGTCGGATGTATTTTAAGTTGTGCATATAGCAACATAGTAGGCCGCGCTGATCGGACGTCAGTACTGAATCTTAACCTCACTCTTTAGTAAACTTAAATTCAAAGTTTCACAGCAATACGTGCAGTGTTCTCACTACAGTGAATTTTTAAGTGTCACCAAGTCATTAGAAAAATGGAACTCAACCGAGAACATTTTCGCACCATAATTACAACTTTCACAGACAATTATCGCAACAAGAATGCCTTGCTGAGTTACTGTCTGTTTTCGACAACGAAGCGCCACATCAGTCGACAATTTTCCGTTGGTATGGGGAATTCAAACGTGGACGGGTGGGTCTTAGTGACGATTTCAGGGTGGGTGCACCAAAAACGGCAGTCACCCAGGAAAACGTCGATGCTGTGCGCAAACTCATCATTGAAGATAGACATGTGACATATCGCGAGATTGAGGCGTCCTTGAAGATCTCAAAGACCTCAGTTCAAAAAAATTTACATGCAGAATTAGGAGTAAGAAAATTAGTTTCTCGTTGTTGACTGAAGAGCAGAAAGCAGCCACGGTTAATTGGTGTCAAAAAACGCTTGACCGTTTCAATTCCGGAAACTCAAAAAATGTGTACAGCATTGTTAGTGGTGATGAATCGTGGATTTACTGTTATGAACCAGAAAATCAACGACAGTCGGCTGTTTGGGTGTTCCAAGGTGAAGAAAATCCAACAAAAGTCATGCGTTCTCGAAGTGTTTCGAAAAAGATGGTTGCGATATTTGTGTCAAAAGCGGGTCATATTGCAACAATGCCTCTTAATGAGCAAAGAACTGTTACTGCGGATTGGTATACCACCATTTGTTTGCCAAAATTCATCACCGAGCTTCGAAAAATCAACCCCGAAAGAAGAATCATCCTCCACCAAGACAATGCAAGCTCGCACACAGCCCAAAAAACAAGGCAGTATTTAACGGAAGAAAACGTGGCATTATAGGACCATCCTCCATATAGTCCCGATCTAAGTCCTAACGATTTCTTTACTTTCCCGAAAATTAAAAACAGACTGCGTGGTCAAAGGTTCCACTCACCAGAAGCAGCAGTTGACGCATTCAAAAATGCCGTTTTGGACCTGTCAGCAAACGAGTGGAATAAGTGCTTCGAAAATTGGTTCGAGCGCATGCAGATGTGTATTAATCTTCGTGGAGAATACTTCGAAAAACAATAAAGTCATTTAAAACTACCTACCGTGTTGTTTTATTTCCATATGCAAAACTTAAAAGACATCCCTCGTACCCCCTAGAGACTATCAGCTTTCGCTGAGCCATCAAAGTGAGTATAGAATATTTAACCGTAACTAAAGCGAGTTACTCGTTTTCATTGTTTCACGTGATTAGCAGTCACCGACGCTGTGTATAGCCACATATACGAGCGGCTGTATATTTTGAGATGTGCTTTAACTATATTAGTTAAAATTGACAACAGTGCACTATTAGAAAGAGCAGTCCTTTATTAGTAAGTCGCCGCATTCAGTTCATTTGCAAGCATCTTACAGTGCACGTGGTGTACGGGGGTGGTCCCAGAAGTACCGGGCTGACCTATTTCAAAAAGTGCGGTTCATCGCATATTATCTGAAAATTTGGACATGTGAAAGCTGTGTGCAAGATGGATGCCGCGATTGCTCACAATCGAGCAAAAACAGTGTTGTGAAGATGTTTCAATTGAGTGTTTAGCGAAGTTTCACAGTAACAAAGCAGAATTTTTGCGTCGTTTCATAACCATGGATGAAACATGAGTCCATCACTTCACTCCCGAGACAAAAGAACAATCAAAACAATGGACTCAAAAGGTTATGCCGTCGGTTTTTTGGGATGCGCGTGGGATAATTTTCGTTGACTATCTTGAAAAAGGTAAAACTATTAACGGTGAGTATTATGCGAACTTATTGCAACGTTTGAGCGATGGAATCAAGCAAAAACGGCCGCATTTGTTTAAGAAGATAGTGTTGTTTCAATGCACCAGCTCACAAATCCGTTATTGCAATGGCCAAAATTGACGAATTTAAGTTTGAATTACTACCTCATGCACCCTATTCACCAGATTTAGCCCCCTTGAGTTATGTTCTGTTTCCAAACTTGAAAAAATGGCTCAGTGGTCAAAGATTTTCCAACGATGGAGAAGTGATGTCGGCAGTTAATGGCTATTTTGAGGAGCAAGACAGTTCTTATTATAAAAACGGTATCGAACTTATTGAACATCGCTGGGAAAAGTGTATAGAGCTGAAAGGAGATTATGTTGAAAAATAAATACTTTTTTTACAAAATTTTTGTGTTTTCTCTTTGGGTCGGGTACTTCTGGGACCACCCTCGTAAACAAATTTAAGACTAAACATGGAGTTGTCTCGAGAGAGTTAGCGCGCTATGATTTACTATGACTTTAAATTCGGTTTAACTGAACATCATTGGCTGATAAAGAAAATAGTGGTAGGCCAAGTTCTAGTGTGACTCCAGAAAAAATTGCTAAAGCGGCTAATTGAAAAAGATTCTCGCTGCACATAATATGTAACTATAGAGGCAACTCTTGGGGTAGGATCCGCAACAGTGCACACCATTTTGCATGATCATCTTTATTTAAAAAAGTTGTTGCGCGCAATCTACGACAATGTCTCTAGCCACACTGCCCAACTAACTGTGCACTTTTTACGCCAGCGCCACATCGAAATGCTGAAACATCCGCCTTATTCGCCAGATTTGGCGATGTGTGACTTCTGGCTCTTCAACAATTTCAACAAAAATCTGCGTGGTCGAGAATTTAAGTCGTCGTATCTCAAAATATATAGCGTGGCCCTCGTATTAGAAAGAGATAGAAGCAGGTCGGATAGCGAAGCCCATCACTGCGTTGCCTGGCAACGCTAACGCGGCAATCTGCCGTGTTGCCAATATGTTACACCACTCCCTTGATTTAAGATGCATGTTGAAAATATGCGTTGGTTTATAATCCATGCTCAAATAATAGTTTTATTTTGAGCGTAAGCATTGTTGGATCAAGAAATGTGTCGAATCAGTTTAGGTTCGATTCCAGATCGGTTATAAAGGTGCTCCATTTTAGGTCGAAACGAATGGTCAGGATCGCAACAAATTCTGCAACATTGCATCATTGGTTCGCTTGGCAACACCGCATCTCGTACATTCCAAGGCAAGGTTTCCACCTCCATGATCGTAGATAAGCAATTTTTGTCAGTACCCATCTAGCGCTTATTGGGAAGTATCGTCCTGCTTCGAACTAGTTTTGACCTGCGAACATGCAGGCAGTGATCATTTGTATTGCGTAATGGTATTTGTTACATTTTGCGACACCGAGCGAGCGGAACTCAGGATGTGTTGATTTTATGACCATCCGTGGAAATCAAAGATAATTCTAAAATAACTCAAAACACTAAGTCGAATCAAAATTGAAATAAAAAATTCTAATCAAAATGAAAACAAAATATTAAATTGAATGCTCGAACAGACCACCTTCTTGGGTTTGGCAGTAACCTAGCTTGCTGTAAAAACCTTCTGGTGTAACACATTGGCAACGCGGAAATTAATTGTTGGAAAGAACCTGACGTTATCCCTCCTCGTGATGCTGTAACCGCGGTGCACTGAGAATTTGCCCGAGTATAGCTTCTGGTTTACTTATTCTGTGAGAGGGATTGGATATATACTGTTCTTTCCGTGAGCGAAGTTCCCCGTATCGTTAGTTTACATTAGATACGTGGCAGCTCATGACTTCACGTGACAGGAATGCTTCCCACTTTCCTCCCCAAATCCGACCCGCCATATACATATACAATTTTTCACTCGTCTATGGACTGCTATTACCATGGAATTCTGAATATTACATACAATGTAATATTCCTAGTAAACACCACGCTTTCCGAAAAGAGGCTATATCTCTGGATTATAATTGGTTTCTGGAAATCGTTCTCCATTTCCCTGGCTATCATGTTTCATCTGTCGCCTATTAACCTTAACATTCTGCTACAATTCTGGGAATATATAGGAAATTAACAGCTCTATCTATCACTAGGCAACCAGATTATTCCTGTCAAAGTACAGTACAATAAACATTTGTTTCACATGCTATGTGTGATTGTATACATATACAATTTATCTCTGTTGTATCAGAATTTATTGATAGACATATTGTAGATAGGGAGACAAAAATAGCTTTTTCCATTAGTATCTATAAATCAAGTGTTTTTCTTAATAGAGCTTTGATATCATCTATGAGGAAAGTTCGAGTTTACCAGTCTTGAAGTTGTGTAAAAAAATACAGAACCTGACAGATCGAGTATATGAAATAAGTACACATGTCAATATAAGCTTTCTAGTCTATACACGCAGTAGTATTAAGGTTAAAGAAACAAATTTTTACCATTTTCTGCCAGTTCTGAATAGTTCGACACGGTTATGAATGGGGATCGAAGTCAGGTGGATCTATCGGGCAGGCAAATCGCGCGGCGGAATCATGGGGGAGAGAGGTACTATACAATACTGTGTTCTGGAAGCATTAAACTGTATACTTTATCTGAAGTCACTTGAAACACTGTGAAATACCGGGTGCGTTTTATATATCTAAATTAACACGGTATGTTGCTGCAAAAATCGCCAAATATCGCAGCAAATATCCCCCGTATAAGATCAAAGGCAGTTTCACCGGTCCACGTGGAGTAAAGCACGCCTATGCGTGGACATAGCCAATGAGAAAGCGTGTATTTCAGAGCTCCGAACAAGTGCAGGTGGCTACTGAAAATTGAAACAGTTTAGCCAGTGCCGTGTAGCGGTGAATAAACGTGTTTTCTTTAGTCTGTCCGTGTTTTTTCATAGATTTTATTAGTTTGTGTGTTTTTGACTTTTGAATACTCAGTTTACTTGTTGATTTAATTGTCGTGTTGATTGTTCTTGTGTGTCCTAAATATGGCGCTTTGGAGACCTTGGGAAAATGCTCCAAGCCACGAGGAGATGGTTGATGAACCTGTGCAGGCAGAATTCTTTCATAAAGATTTAGAGGAACAGACCCAAAGAGTAATCCTAAATATGTATGATTGTCTGAAAAACGAAAATCCAGATTCCTCGCAAAATCAAATTTTAAACAGAATTTGTATCCTGACAAAAATCAGTCGGTCTACCATTTATCGGGTTATAAAAAGGGGAGATGTAGTCAACCATTCCTTCCACAGAAAGCGCATAGGGCAAAAATTAAAAAGAATAGACGTGGGTTTTCAGGAAGATATTCGTCGTATAATATACGGATTTTATAAAGAAAATTTGGTGCTCACGTTGGAAATGATACGGGATAAATTAAAAGATTATCCTGAAGATTTTTATAATTACAAATGCTTAGACTCACTGCACTGTATTGTAAAACTGTGTGGTTTTCAATACAAAAAATTAGATAAAAGAATGGTGATTATAAGTCGTCTCGAATCGTTGAATTGCGCCAAGAATTTTTGCACAAAGTTAAAATCTATAGAGAGGAGAAAAGAAATCTGATTTACCTGGATGAAACGTGGATGATACCCATGATGTGTTGTGCAGTACGGCTGGGTTGACGACAGCAACAAGTGCATTTTAAATGCACCATGCAACCGTGGAAAACGAATCATTATTCTCCATGCTGGCAGTGAAAATGGATTTATACCTAATGCCTTGCTGTTATCTGCCAAAAATATCAAAGAATCATGTGCCGACTATCATGAGGACATGACCTCCGACTTATTTGAAAAGTGGATAGAGCAGCAGTTAATACCAAACATTTCCCCAAATTCAGTGATTATTATGGACAATGCGCCATACCATTCCCGGCAGAAAAACAAAATTCCGAATACAGGCACAAAAAAACAAGACATTATTGATTTTATGAAGGATAAGGGAATGGAAATACCACAAAAATCAACCAAAGCCATATTATTGGATCTTATTAAAAGACAAAAATTTGAAAAAGAGTATGTTGTTGACAATCTGCTTCAGCAAAATGGCCATGAAGTATTACGTCTACCTCCCTATTACTGCATTTTTAACCCGATTGAGTTGGTCTGGGCTGCTTTAAAAAAAAAGTAAGAAAACATAATCAGATCCCTCAATTAAGTGAATCGCTATTGGCCACAATAAGAGATGCAGTATCTCATATTGCTGCCACAGAC